AGTAGTAAAAACCATCGCAAAAATAAAGGAAAGATTTTATTGGGATAGACAACAGAAAGACATAGAGAAATTTATCAAAGGATGTCCGGATTGCCAAGCACGAAAAGGGCAACAGCATAGAAAACCAATAGGCTTATTACACCCCATACCAGTGGGTATCCCGTTCGAAAGGGTTGCAATAGATCTTTTAGGTCCGTTCAGGAAATCAAAGTCGGGAAAAATTGCATTGTTGTCGCAACAGACTACGCGACTCGGTGGGCCGAAACACAAGCATTACCTAGCGGAAAAGCGGGACCTGTGGCTAAGTTTATCATGGAGAGAATAATCACCCGTCACGGGGCCCCGAAATACTTTCTGAGTGACCAGGGCAAAGTTTTCCACTCGGAATTGGTTACAGAACTATTAAAAAGTGTCGGAACAACAAAACAGTTTAAAACTGCATATCATCCATCCACCAACGGTCTGACGGAAAGATTCAATAAAACGCTGGCAGACATGTTAGCGATGTATACCGACACAAATCAGCTGCTTGGGGACGAAGCATTACCTGCGGTTACGTTCGCCTACAATACATGTAAACAGAAAACCACGGGATTTTCACCGTTCATGCTAGTATACGGTCGAGAACCCATCTTACCCACGGAAGCTAATTTAATGGAGTCACCTAGTGAGCTAGACAGCCTGCAATTGAGAGACCAGGCTTTGGCAGTCCGCAACAAAGCCGTAGAAAATATACTACGGCAACAGAAAATCGATAAACTACGTTATGACGCGAAACACCGGCACGTAGAATATAACGAAGGGGATCAGGTGAAAGTCTTCACCCCCGTAAGAAAGATAGGAAGAAGCGAAAAATTACTCCTTAGATGGTTCGGGCCTTACTACATTACTAAGAAGAAATCCGAAGTGGATTATGAAATTCAAAAGAGCCAAGTACAAAAATAGGAAAGTATATTTAACTAAAGCTTACCACAAATTCATATCAGTTCTGGGCATGGGCACTAATAATTGTCACAAGACTAAACGGCACTATTACTACTTACTATTATCGCGGATAATTCACTCTCTGTAGACTGATCCCCTATCTTCTGAAACCACCTTATTTTATGCTAGTCTCGCAACCATCATACGTGATTTCTAATTACAATAACTGCCGATGACCTGGCATCGGCATTGACCTTCTATGGGTTTCAGTTCCATGTCCGTACAAATTAATAGTTTAATAATTCGTTCAACTTGCAATGTTATTTACATGTAACGTGACCGAAGGTTTTCCTGTAACCCATGAACTTTTTTGGGAGACGAGTGAGTTTAATTTACCGAAGGGAGATGCCCTATTATCCTAGATACGTCAATATGCTTGAAATATTCTTAGAATATATCTGCATATATCATTCTCAATATGCATCCTAGACATAACATTCTTGTTTGATTCTAAGAATATACTTGGAATGGTAATCTTCGCATCCAAATAATGTCCCTTTCAGTCCTTTTATATGAAAGGCAGTGAAAGAGTTGTTGGAAAACTTCTCTGGAAAACACAAGTGTTTAACCAAAGCTCCGGTTTCGAGCTTGTTATCCTCTCGTCGCGGTAAGCACGCTAACTGAGAAAAACAGGTTCCAAGGTGATTCAAACGCGAGGCAAGATGTAGATCTTTAATAGCGCGTGGCTCCCTCTCTTGGAAGTCCTACAAAGCAAAAGAAAAATAATATACCCATAATATTTATAGTAGGTTCTAGATAGAGCATTATTGTTTAATTGTCCAATTATGATTTTTGAGTAGATACTTTAGATAACTAGGTGAACAATATGAAAATATTCTTATCATGATGGTTACTTACCTACATAAACTTCTCAGCACAACTTGGTAGGTATATTCTTAATACTTGATAGAGATATTAGCCGAAAGAACATTTTTTAGGGTACATTATAATAATGTTCTTATGACAATACAATATTCAAATAATGTTATATAAGGTAGGTTCTTAGCACAATCTTTCAGGTAGCTGCATAGAAGCAACATTCCTAGTACATAAATAGAACGTCCAAACATAAATATTTCAATCGAAACAATCTTAGAATATTCATTAAACATTCCTAAAAGAAGATTCCAAAAAGCACTTTGAGGGAATATTCTGAGAATATGAATGTTCTTTCACTGTTATGTGGGTTCGTATACCGTTTCCACCTCGTCATCTTCATGTGAGGGTGAGGAATTTGGAACATAAGCTTGTATCTATTGTCACGGCTTTGTATTGCCTGACAGAAATCTTGGGTTCGTTGTTCGTTTCGTTTATTCCAAAAATCAAAGTCCAATTAACACAGCAATAATTTATTCCACGTAACAATACACTCTGACACTAATTACTTTAATAACTAACTCAACAATTAAACTCTTTACAATCACTATTTAAATCGTATCGCAATCGAACTGAAACTTAACTTACAAACCAATGCCGGCCTTCTTATATATCCCCAAATCTATTCCTGTAAAATCTAGAATACACACGATAATCTAATTTTCCAGATTAAAGTAGAATAATTCGCTATAGATTCTAGTATTTTCGCCATCGATTCTTGACAGCCTGGCGGACGCCTATTCTAGCAACAGAGTTTAGCATTATTGTAACACTGCCCTCCTCTTAAGGTTGATCGTCCCGATCAACTTCGCGCCCATGATATTTCGCCAATCTGTCCAGATGTACAACTTTCATCTTACTCCTGGCGTTGCGCTGGACTCGATAAACCAAATCATTGATCCTCTTGATTATTTTGTAGGGTCCCTCCCATGCTGAAGACAACTTCGGCGATACTCCTTTCTTTCTAGCTGTATTATACAGCCACACTAAATCACATTCTTGAAATCCCGCTGAATTGGCTTTCAGGTCGTATCTGGTCTTCATCCGGTCACTGGCTAGCTGAATATGCTCCCGAGCAAAATCATGGATACCCAGAAGTCGTGCCCTTACTTCGTCGGCATAATCTCGGATTTCTCTCCGTTCTTCTTCAGGTATCCCAAAACATCAAATCGCAAGTTAACCTGAGTTCTCTTCCAAAGATGATTCTGGCTGGACTTTCACCTGTTGACTCGTGAACGGCTGCTCTATAAGCCATAAAAACAGAGGCAAGTGTTTGTCCCAATCACGCTGGTTCCTTGCGACCACTTTTCTCAGGTATTCCTCTATGGTCTTATTAAATCGTTCTACCATGCCATCAGACTGTGGATGTAAAGGTGTTGTCCTGGTCTTACGGATTCCCATGATCTCACAAATTTTCTTAAAGATGGCAGATTCGAAGTTTCGTTCCTGGTCTGAGTGTAACTCTAGTGGCACACTATGACGACTAAAAACTTCGTCCACTAGCACCTGGGCAACAGTGATGGCTTTTTGATTGAGAATAGCAAAAACTTCTGGCCATTTACTGAAGTAATCCATGATAACTAAGATGTATTTGTTGCCACGCTCTGACTCTGGGAACGGTCCTGCTACATCTATCGCTATTCTCTCAAATGGAAGACCGACGTTGTACTGTTTCATGGGCCCCCGAGATCTTAGTTTAGGGCCTTTACTGGTAGCACAGATGTCGCATTTTCGGCACCAGCTTTTAACGTCTTCATGGTAATGAACCCAGTAAAAACGTTCCCGAATTTTGTCCAAAGTCTTGTTAACTCCGAAATGTGCCTCTGAGGTTCCGTCGTGTATTTCTTTTAATACATCTTCCACTCGGTCTTTTGGGATAACCAGTTGGCTCTTAGTGGATTTCCCATCGGCACTTTCCCAAACTCTTTTGAGCAAACCATTTTCTACGGCCAGAGAGTTCCACTGGGCCCACAACGCATTGTAAATCAAGCTTTTGTTTGACACTTCCCCCCATTCTGGCCTACATTCATCATTTTCTTTAAGATGTAGAATTTGCCCGATGTCTTGGTCTGCCTCCTGATCTTCTCCCATTTGCTTGGTAGTCCATTTGTCATCGACGATCAGGCCCGTTCTTCTTACAGCTGGACTAGTGTTTTTCTCATGTATATCGATTCTTTGACAATGTTTGCAATCTTCTTTACATGGCCGTCTAGACAGAGCGCCAGCATTTTTATGCAGGTTTCCAGGTCGACGTTTAATTTGGAAATCGTATTGCTGCAATTTCTCAATCCATCTAGCAAGCTGTCCTTCGGGAGTTTTCATTTCTAAAAGCCACTTTAGAGCTGCGTGATCTGTTCGAATTAGAAACTTGCGTCCGTAGAGATACTTATAAAAATGGTCGACTGCTTTTACTATGGCAAGCAACTCTCTTCTGGTGACACAATAACTTCGTTCCGGCTTTGATAATGTTCTGCTGTAGTACTCCATGACATGTTCTTGTGAATTTTGGCGTTACTTGCATCTGTGTCCAAAATCAACATGCCTTTGTGATCAGGATAGGACAACACTGGGCTCGTACATAATGCTCCTTTCCTGCATGTCTTCCCCAGCTGCAGGAAACGCCAAACTCACTAGCCTTTTAACTTCTGATTCGAATTCTTGTAAACTCTCGCCGGGTTTTTGAATTCTCGATTTGACTTGAGTTTTGAATACTTCTTCCCTGTAATGGTCTCCGAAGCGCAATTCTAACTGAAGAAGGTCTAAGGCTGGTCCTCGTAGCGCCACTATCAGTGCTGTAGCTTTTTCTTGATCGTTCCATCCGTTGATATTTGCAGCAGCTTCAAATTGTCGGATATACATGTTCCAGGATGTAGAACCGTCAAAAGTTGGTGGTTCTATCTTCATACTGGAGAATGCTCCAACACTAACTGGATTGATGGACTGTATCTCTAATTCTGGTCTAGGTTAGCGACAGTTCCTTGTATGGTTTGGAATATTTTCTGTAGTCTTCCAAGGTCCTCCTGCCGTTCTTGTTGTCGCTTAGCTTCTTCTTGTTGTCGCCTAGCTTCTTCTTCTTGTTTTTCTTTTTGTCGTCTGGCCTCTTCTTGTTGTCGTCTAGCTTCTTCTTCTTGTTTTTCTTTTTATCGTCTGGCCTCTTCGTCTTGTTTCTTTTGTTGTCGTTTAGCTTCTTCGTCTTGTTTTTCTTGTTGTCGTCTGGCTTCTTCGTCCTGTTTTTCTTGTTGTCGTCTGGCTTCTTCGTCTTGTTTTTCTTGTTGTCGTCTGGCTTCTTCGTCCTGTTTTTCTTCTTCTGCGTATAATTAACAAAGACAAAACACTCGAACGCTGCTGCCGCAGAGAGCGAGGCATGAGGCTGCGATTTTGTGCGCGTCTGGCAGTTTCTTGCTCGACGTTTGCGTGATTTTGGTTTAACAGAATCGGATTCGTTGTTTTTCTATTTTTCCGTTAATCGTTATACTTCTATGTTCCGGTATGTTTTATCGGAAAAACCATTTTCGCAGTGTACAAACAATCATAAAAAGGATTTTTATTTTCTTAGAAGAAAAATACCTAAATTGAAAAGCTGTTTCCGTTGCCTTTGGTCTGATCAGAAACCGTTCTTGTTTAGTTAATTTTATGATTTAGTAAATTCTTTGTTGATGTTTGTTACTTTTCATAGAACCTCTAGATATAGTAGGTAAAGTAGAAATATCGTGGCCGGTATGTATAAATAGAGAGTTCTCGTGCGGTCCAAATTTCAAATACCGTAACTTTATTTGACAAGTATGACAGTTCTTAGTGTATTAGCGTTAGCGTAGCCCGCTACCTAACGGGAGTTAGCGGATACCTTACCGTAACGCTATGCTATGTCAAAATTAGGTTGCGACCTATTTACGTCTGCAAAAACAGCAACTTCCAATAATTCCTGCATAAAAAACACCAAGGAAAAATTAATGGAACTCAGGAATCCTCAGGATAAATAAAAGTTCACAAACAAGCAAAAAAAGTTGGGTTAGATCACTCAATTCAGCTGTCAAAATGTAAACAGAATAACGGATTAGGGGATTTTTGTGTCTTCGTGTCCGAGAACTATAAAATACCATTTGAAATACCGTATTGTTTAGCGGTACCGTATTAGCGTAGCGTCTGACGCACGAGAACTTTCTATTATCTTTTCATGGAATTTAAACCGATAGGTACTGTCTAGGGTAAATCGATTTGACTGGATATTTAGATTCTTGTATAACAGACAAAAAGAGTGATTAAAGAAATGAGTTTTTTAATTCAATCTTTGACAAAACAAGCATTGAAGCACCTACAATAAATTCTTTTTTATTGTATCAGCTTCTACTAGGTGGAAATTCATTATCTAGTAAAAGATTTTTTAAGTAAATTAGTATACTTATTTATTTCCATTAATTTGTGTTAAACTTTAACATGTTTCGCTAACACTGTAGCTTCATCAGAAAGATTGTAGACATAAAAGTGAAATCGTCAAATATAAAAAAGGTAAAAGCTGGTCTAATTTTATGTTAATCTAAATATGTAGGTATTACAATACATAAATTTATGTACGACCTACAGTGTAAGAGCTTATTACGTAACTCATTTTAGCCTGTTTGAGTTACGTAATAAGTTGCATTATCGTGCTTAGTGATGTAATGAGCTCATTACATCACTCAGTGATGTAATGATGAGCTCTTATTACATCACTCAGTGATGTAATGAACTCTCATTACATAACTCAGTGATGTAATGAGAGCTCATTACGTAACTCATTTTTATTGAAAAACAGCACTTTTTAAAATCTATTTATCAAAAATTTTAAATATAATCTTTTGTGAACAATTAAAACCATTTCTAATATATGAAAAAAATCTGGGTCGTACATAAAATTTTGTATATCACACGTACGGTAACGCTCATTACACCACTCGTGTGATTACCACGACTCGGTCTACGACCTCGTCTTGGCAATATTCCCCACTCGTTACTGTAATGAAGCTCATACCGTACTAGTAATATAAATAACTATTAAAAGTGATGAATTGTTTAAATCTAATTCGTAATTCAGTAAACAGTTTAAATTTTCAAGTTTGTTTATTTCTAGAGATTCTAGAAGATTTAATTTTATCCCTTTGTTTTCATTATGTAACATTTGAAATTCATTATTAAAATTATGATTAGATTCTATTAGTAGTCTAAGAGCCAGTGAACTTTTCGCGTGAAAAGTTGCCGATGGACAATTTCTTGCTTAAACGATGTAGTATTTTCCTCCGCGATCGAAAACCATAGTCTGGCAGCGTGTAGTGGGGAAGTTTGGCGTAGGCATAATTAATTAGACATTGAAAAATTCACGAAATTCGAAATACTTGCCGATGGTCAATTTTTGCGGCATATCATTCAAAAATGTGCCATTAACACGGCTGTAATAATTCAAGACGATTTTCACGGGTTTAAAGCCTTGCCAGACGGTCCCAAAGTTCAAAAAAAAAAATCGAAATACTTGCCGAAACCTGTTTTTTTTCTACATTTGAGAAAAAAAAATTGCCAATCGAACAAACCTAGTGCCAGACGGTTTAATCCTTGCCATACGACGCAAAAGTTCGTTATTTTAGGCCTCCATGAACGCACACATAATACGCTGCGTGAGGGAGGGAATAATATACCGCGACCACACGTCGGTTATCCCGTACAAGACCAAATGAGAGGGAAAGACAAGGAGTTTGTATGAATGAACTATACACGCCTGGCAACTCAACAACTTACAGGCCAATTTTAATGCAATAGAATGAAATGTCTAGAGAAAGTCTAAGGTTGAATAGAGAACAAAAACGATTTCCCCTGTTCCACCTCTAGCATTCCCAGCGCTTTTTGCTGGAGGTGGAACAGGGGAAATCGTTTACGTGTTCTCTATTTAACCTTTTCCTAGACATTTCATTCACACATTCACATTGAAATTGGCATGTAAGATATTTACTTGCCAGGCGTGTATACTACACGTAACTGGAATGGATTTGACCGTTGTCGGATATAGCATTTGCTCTCTCTTAGTGTATAGTATAGGTATCCAAAGATAGCTACATAGTTACGGCTACCTTTCGCTTTCTAGTTCATTGCTGTTAGGTTTGGTATATTCCTAACACCAAATATAATATTTTTTAGGCAAGGAAAGATTTCCATAATTCGCCAATAAGATAAATAGAGATAGGTATCCGTCACATTCTCCATCTCAATTTGCCTAAATTTTTTTAAATCGACGCGACCATTCCAGGTACTTACGTGTAGTTTATAGTTCATGTAATATAATTATATTTCCTTTTTTTTCTGTGAATTTACTTATGAAATAAAATAATTAAATAGTGCACATTGAATTGAAATATAGATTGAAATAAAATAAAATATAAATTATCGATTTTTTAATTTTATTGAAATGTCAAAAAAAGAAAAAGCTAAGGTTTATGTTGGTATAATTTTGTGTAATAAAGATTTATTTTTGCATTTTATATACGACCCATGACCCCCTCATATTATGAGAGCTTATTACGATTACGTAACCCATTTTAGCCTCTTTGAGTTACGTTATAAGTTGTATTATCGTACTAGTGATATAATGAGCTCCTTTTATCACTAGTAATTTAATAGGCTCATTAAGTAACTCATCTATTCATGGATAATAAAAGTAGAAATGATACCTGATGCTGATGACAACAATGACAGTATTTGCTGACAGCTGATGGCAGCGTTAACTAAAGTCTTTTTTGAGATAATATTTTCTTTCAGCCTTGAGCTTTAATAAGGTCAACGAATAATCTGTTTTGAAGAATCAAAACCATTTTGAATATATAAAGCAAAAATCTGGGTCGTGGATAGAATGTTGTATATCACACGTACGGTAACGCTCATTATAGCACTCGTGTGGTTACCACGACTTGGTATACAACCTCGTCGTAACCATATTTCCGTTCCGTTCCCTTATAAAAAAAAGGTTTCGGCAAGTATTTTGAAAATTTAATATATTTTTGCAATCTGGGGGCGTCTGGCAAGGCTTTAAACCCATGAAAATCATCTGGCATTATTACAGCTTTATTAATGGAACATTTTTGAATGATATGCCGCAAAAATTGACCATCGGCAAGTATTTCGAATTTCGTGAAGTTTTTAATGAATAATTAACTATGCCTACGCCAAACTTCCCCACTACATGCTGCCAGACTATGGTTTTCGATCTCGGGGGATATTACTACATCGTCTAAGCAAAAAAATGTTTATCGGCAACTTTTTACGGAAAAAAATTCACTGGCTCTTAGACTATAGGTGATTTGCATAATTTGAGTCTGTTTATACGACCAAATTAGATTTAAACAATTCACCATTATTACCTTTATTTATTGTAGGTACCTATAATACCTATTTAGATTAACATAAAATTAGACAGATCTTGATCTATTTTGATAAATGTTGTTCCGACACGAAAAAAATTAAATTATTCTCAAGCAAATTTTTTAAAAAATAATGTCGCTGGCTCCCTGTATCGTGTCGTGTTTATAAATTGGCATAATAAAAAAAAAATGTTTCTAAGGTGGTATATATTTAGTTTAAATAGCTATATTGACATAATTCTATTCATTTGTGTTTTTCTTATAATATACAGTTAATTCAAATTCTATTGTTTTTCACTATCCTGTCTGGCCATGATATTCGAAATCCAATCGAAATAGGTTGGCACTCGGGAATAAACGTTCGGATGCTTTTTAGTAGCTATTCCGCATTTGTTTGTTATAAATGAAGCTATTCCTACTTGCTGGTTATCTACTAGAAGAGCTGTTCCGGAATCGCCCTAAAAATAATGTATTACGTGAATTGATAAATAATATAGAGATTAATAACTACTGAATAATTCTTACATTGCAAGCTCCGCCGTTCATAGCTCCAAAGCAAATATGGTGAGTGTTGTCCATGGCGGCTGCACACGTTTCATCGTCAAAAATGTCTACTTGCAATTTTTGCAGTTTTCGCGATAATGGTGCGTCTTGCTATAATTATTGTTCCTATACTTATTGGAAAATTTATTCAAAAAAGTGCTTACGGCCGTTTTTCCCCAGCCAATAATAATACCAGTTTGAGGGCTTTTAGTATCGAAATCCTTTGATATTGTTACTGGCTTCCAAGATCCGTCGTCGGGTAAGGGAGATTCCAACTGAAATCACCCAAAAAACTACCACTTCTATTTACTCAGAAATCACTCACCTCTAAAACAGCACAATCGAATATCAACTTATCCGAGTCGAAATTGTGACAGTTGATTTTTTTAACGTTAACAACATTCGTGGCTTCGGTGGTGATTTCGTTCAAGCCGTATTGGATCGAATAAGCGCTGCTATTTCTCGGACTGAAAGTTCAATTGAAAATTTTGGTTTTTGGGTGATTTTAAATTACCTGAACAACCACCCAAACGGTTCAAATCCGTACCTTTTATCATTGCAAACGCAATGGGCTGCACTTAAAATGTATTTTTCATTTAAAATGGTCCCTCCACAAGTATGCCTGGAGTTGTGTCTAAGGGAAACCTGATTAGAAATTAGTTTCAAATAGTTATGGGAACTAATCTAATTGATAATGCTTACCGCAAAAGGGAATTCACCCTCTAAAGCATCAGTACCATTGACTATTCTGGTTGATGCTGAAAAAAATCAGTTCATTTGAAAATTGGAACTTATACGATCAGTGTTTCTTACCAAATACTGAGACAAAACACAACGAAAACGCAAATGCGAAGATATGAAAAGCGTCCATTACTACTGTAATTTTATTTTTTTAACACGATTTTACACTTAACAAGCAATTCATTTTATAGTTCAGGGGTTTGAATAAAATATTAGATTTCAAGTGAGTTTCACGGCGGGGCGGCTGGTTCTGATATCTTAATAGCAGCCAACACCATAAAAATGTTAATTCGGCTATGATAGCCTAGTTTTTATAATTTTTGGGTAATTTAGGATGTATTGGATGCGAGTGGAATTTTTAATAAGATGTTTTCTAGTTCAAGGAAGAAGCATTTGGTGGACAATCTTATCCTTCTGGAGGTTTTTATCAGATATATTTAGATATAGTAGGTATCTATACTTTAGAAAAATTGGATCCACGTTGCCTTACGGTACAGATTCGCTGTTGAGAAAAATCAGAATTTTCTGGTTTAAAGTATTTGATTTTTCAGCACCTTTTTCTCCAAATCCTTAGCAAGGGATCCTCAAAATTTCACACCATCCCTAACACCAATTCTAAAGGAAAACATTTGAACCCAACAGCAGTTTTCGAAAAAATAAATCTTAATCTAAAGGCGGGAGGCGTACAGGGTGATCTATTATAAATGTCACCGCCAAAATATATTTTTTTAAATGGAAGACCATGTATATTGTGCGCTTATTTATTAGTTATTAGTCCCCTCAATTTTAACGATATACGGTTTGATATGTTTATCTCTTGGTTTATCTTCGACAGTTATAGGGGAAAATGCGAAAATCCCTTTCTAGATCTAATGTAATTTTTTTTTTAATAATGATAATAACTTAAGACATCTGGATTTATTGTATTATTTTACCTTTTTTTTAAATTAAGGAATGTTTGAACATTAAACTGCTTATAAATAATTCTCTCTAAAGCTTAAATGGTAGGTATAATTTTCCTCTATAACTATTGAAGATAGACATATTATTCATATCAAACCGTAAATTTTTGAAATCAGGTTAACAGGGACTAACTAATAAGCGCACATTATACATGGTGTCCCAGTTAAAAGAATATAACTTCGCACTGCTAGACTTTTTTGACGCAGCCTGTATGCTTATTAAAACTGGAATAGATATATTTCTGTCTTTCTCTAACTTCTGATTATTTTTGGCTTAATGACCTAATTAATTAGTGGTTTTTTGTTTTCAACATAACCCTAATTTAAATTATTGTAATTTGTAAACAATTGAAGTATTTCTAGTGGGTTTTTATCTATTCTCTTTTAATCAACGCGGTGTTTCATTTATTAAGTAAGTACGGTCTTTTGTGTCTGTTTAGTATTGTCTTCTGATTGGTCGAAACGGTTAATACGCAGTTAGGTATAAAAAAACACAAGATTGGTTTCCTGCAGGGTTTTGCTTCTAAAACGCTCTCTTCTTCTAGCAGTGACCTAGCAGGCAAGTTGATTTAATTTTTATAATTTTTTCTTTTGAATTTTTAGATTCTCCCTCAATAATTTTTCAATTTACCATCAGTGTATACTACCATACCACTGTTGAGTTTTTACTTGATAACTATTATCTACTTTTGAAATATAAATATCATATTTTAATTTTTTATCTAATTGTGTGCATCCATTTTGTGATTGGTGGTTCCACGTTTTTCTGAGGTGAGTCAATTTAGATTTTCCGGCTAATAAAAAGGTAGTGCTGCTCTGGCTTTCAGAATCAATTGTTAGTGTGGAATTATTCGACCATTTGCTCTAAATAGAGTCGGTGCAAACCAAACTTGTGTGTCCATCCCTATCAACTCTTTACTGAATCCAGACAGCGGCTTGTATAGCCATTTTCTGTTCAACTCCTTCAATTATTATCTTCTCGAGGAGAAGAGTGTTGAAAAAGGGTGTAATTTTTAAAATAGAAATCCAGATAGGTCAAAAATTCATTTAAAAAGTTTTAAATAAAACATCTCAAGAACTTTGACAGTTCCTAGATTTGATTGATTTCACCCTCAGGTTTATCTTGTAGTACCTATAGTAGGTACCTTAACTTAGAAAGAACATTTTGTCTATTTTGGGAGAATCTAGAGATTTAATTTTTCAATTTTTTTTATCTGATTAAATTTTTCCTACATTTGTTTTTATTTTTGCCTGTTTATTGCTACTGCCAGAAAAGCAGCTTTCTGCTCATTTATAACGAGCATCTATTTTAATTCAATCTTGCTGCATCTACCCATTTTACCATTTACTATTGTTTTATTAACATTTTCAATTATTTAATTGTTTTTCTTTTTTATAAAAAAAAATACTTTTTTCCAATTTGCAATAGTTGCTCATACTTACCTGATTCTGTTGGAAAGGAGTGTCTGCACAACAATAGTTTTATAATAAATTTCAATTTAAATCTTCTTTGCAAGACACTCGCTTTTTGACAGAATTCAGGGATTTACTTTTCCAAATCTTGGTGAACCTGATACTGCCTTATTCTTTTCTGGGTACCTACTGGACATAAAAGATCACTGTTTGGAGTCTGGATCAGCTGGAGTGACGTCACCCCAGCAATCTATCCTCTTTCCAGGATACAGGAAGAGCTCCAGTTCACGAAAGTGAAACCCCAACATCCATTGAAGAGCTCCGGATTGGAAAGGTACATATTGTATTAGATTCACCAGAACAATCAAGCTGTCAACTGTCAAATTTTGAAGAAAAGTGACATTGTTACTACATTGTAAACAATTATCGAATAAAATTATTGTTTGTTGGATTTTGAGTGGTTTCATTTGCACATAAAGAGGCTACACGTTATCTTAATTTTTTGAATTCCACGACCCTATAGGTTCTCTCATCTTAAAGTACACTTGGCCAATCATAAAACTAGTAGGCATGTTCCTATTGTGTTGTATTGTGTAAATCGACCTTTTTTATCATCTCAACAATGACAAAAAGAGTCAAGTCAGTGTCATATTTAAACCAATCATAACATAAAAATATGTTGCATTTACTTTTGTTCAGCTTTGACGTTGACAAAAACTGTCTGACCTAAGTTTTTCAGAACAGACTTGTTGTTGTTAAGCCTGACTCACACTAGGCAAATTTGAAAAATATATATTGCCTGTACCAGTTTTATGTTTGGCCAAGTGTACAAATAAATTCTCGAGTAAATTCTATTATTTGCAACAGTATATGAAAGTTAGTGAAAAGTTAAAGGGGGTGTTAACTAGGATTAGAAATAAATCGAAATTATTATTGCTCAATGAAAAAGTGCACATCAGTTGTAGGTATGTATTTCTCAGCAAATAAAAAATTTGTTACCAATTTCGCCTACTCGTGTGCCGTGCGGTGAACTGTATTTTTCCTCACACCTCTGCGTGCGGTAAGTAGTACTTTACCACCAATATACTATACGGAGAATACATAGTCAAAAAAGTTGACAAACATGAGAGTTTGACTATGTTTTATTGTATTAAATCTCGCACTGCCAGATTCGAATACGCACTGCTAGATTTAATCTCGCACTGCTAGATTTAAAGACGAACTGCGAGATTTATTCTCGCACTGCTAGATTTATTCTCGCATTGCTAGATTTATTCTCGCACTGCTAGATTTAAAGACGCACTACGAGATTTATTCTCGCACTACTAGATTTAAACACGCACTGCGAGATTAAATCTCGCACTGCCGAGTTTTGCACCATTTTGCACCATGAATATTAAATTTTGCACCGCAACCCTTAGGCCTCTACAGGGGGTTGAAAAAGAAATAATTGGCCGCCCCCACACACCAAATTTCAATTTATAATAGCACAAATTGTTCTCCGAGTTTTGCACCATTTTGCATCATAAATATTAAATTTTGCCCCGCAACCCTTAGGCCTTTACAGGGGGTTGATAGAGAAATAGTTGGCCCCCCCCACACACCAAATTTCAATTTAAAATAGCACAAATTGTTCTCTGAGTTTTGTACCATTTTGCACCGAAAATATTAAATTTTGCACCGCAAGCCTTAGGCCTTTAAAGCGGGTTGAAAGAGAAATAGTTGGCCCCTCCCACACGCCAAATTTCAATTTATAATAGCACAAATTGTTCTCCGAGCTTTGCACCATAAATATTAAATTTTGCACCGCAACCCTTGAGCTTTTACATGGGGTTGAAAGAGAAATAGTTGGCCCCTCCCACACGCCAAGTTTCAATTTATAATAGCACAAATTGTTCTCTGAGTTTTGTACCATTTTGCACCAAAAATATTAAATTTTGCACCGCAAGCCTTAGGCCTTTAAAGGGGGTTGAAAGAGAAATAGTTGGCCCCTCCCACACGCCAAATTTCAATTTAAAAGCACAAATTGTTTCCCGAGTTTTGCACCATTTTGCACCATAAGTAATACATTTTTCACCGCAACCCTTAGGCCGCTACAGGGGGTTGAAAGAGAAATTGTTGGTCCCCCCCCCACACTCCAAATTTCAATTTATAATAGCACGAATTGTTTCTTGAGTTTACGCACTATTTTGCATCAAAAATATTAAATTTTGCACGGCTACCCTTAATCTTCTACATGGGGTTGAAAAAGAAATAGTTGCCCCCCACACACACACGCCAAATTTCAATTTATATAGCGCACTGAGTGTATTTTCATCTCTTCCTCTCAGCTTGTTAAAGAAAAATATAGAAATACATTTTCTTTGCACTAATTCCAACACCCGGAAACGCCATCAATATGTTCTGGACTGATTCGGACTCGGTTCAGAGAGTCCAGAATATAATCCGCGAACAAAGCTCGCTAATATTAAAATAAAGACGGGTCACTTTTGGTTAGTCTATGGGCGCTTCCCAGCGACATATTAACTTTGTTTCAACACAGCTGAAAACCCTATACAATTTACCCTCGAATTTACCCAAGGATAATACACACTACACACGGATTACTTATCGTCTTTTTTTTGGGTTTCAAGGTCATTTGGTGTAGCACCGTTGCTACGACATCAACTATGTCGGGAGGCTGTTTGCGCCAGTGTTTGCAGTTTAGAATATTAAAGCAGACGCCAGCAGAATTCTAGCCTGTGGTGCAAACACC